TTCTATCTATCAATTGATGGATACAGTTCGTATCCATATTTTGTAAAAATACTTTTGTTTATATTAATGAACAGGGTCCAACCCTTGTTTTTCAGTCAAAAAAAAAAAATTCGTGCTCCCTTTCCTTCTCTTTTGTTATACTCTCAATTGTTGCTTCTTCATGGCTTGAAATCTTGTATCATGGAAAAAATTATGAGCAACTCTAAAAACTAAAAGAAGTTGAAGATATAAATAAGGTTTGTTACATTTCTTTTAATTTTTTCCCCTCTTGTTGTTATGGTAACTGTTCTTATATTTGTTTTTTTAAGATTAAGACTCTTTCCATCTAGCAAAACTTGTGAATTGATTTTGTAGTTACGAAAATTAATCTCCAAAACCTTTTTTTTTCCATCTTTCTGAACTATTTTTTTTTTCCTTTGCAGCCAAATCTAGTGAATGGACAACTCAGAAAATAATGAACAAAATCAAGGCTTGAGTAACGAGGAACCAAGTTCTTATGTAGTTCCTTGTGTAGAAATCTAAGATGATGGAATGCCAAGCATTAGAATGAAGGTTTATATTAAGGAAGAAGCTTATAACCTCTACAATAATTATGCCACCCTAATTGATTTCAGCATCATACATAAAGGAGATCTACGTGAAACAACAAAGGGAATTATGTGACAACACCTCTATCTTTATTCAAAAGCAGGTCTAAAGTTGGACGATGAACCTAATTATGGAATGAAATTGGTGATCCTGATAATTCTAAGAAGAGGATACTACAAAGACTGTCACAATTTGCTCCATATGGAGAGGCAAATTAAACATGATCCAAATTTCTTTCTCGATCAAGCAATTCATTTTATGATATATGTGTATATATTTAGACATTGTTTTTATTTAAGACTTTCATTACACGAGTGTTGGTGGCTCCAACTTCCCATTAGGCTTCAGCATTAACAGGTACCTGACACGAGATGAAATGAAATGATATGCCTCTCTTGGGTCCATCTTTTAAAATGCACATATGAAATTTGTTTGGTATTTGTTTGTACTTTTCGTAAACACTCCTTACAGTATGTTGCTCATGTATCTTGCAGGGAATGGTTCATCTTCACGCTTGGCCTAGGCCCTAGTGGATCCTTTCACTTTTATAGCTTGGCTGCATATTGGGTTCTTTGAGAAATCAATTACATGATGCAAGAGGCTTAATTGGGGAGATATGAAGTGTAGTGTGAAAAGCTCAACAGATAACTGGAATGACAATCAATGATTATTAGGGTCAGTTTGTTAAACGGAGCAAAACTGGACTAGGACCAGTCCTTGCCCAGTTTTGTGCTAAACTAGTTTTGTTTTGAATGAGACCCCCCTGGTCCAAAACAAAACTAGTTTAGTGACACTATTTGGGCACAAAAAATAGGGCCAGATCTAGTCCAGAATTTTGACAAACAAGAAACAACACAAAATTAGGTCAGGTTCAGTCCTGACCCAATTTTATAAAGTTGCCAAACACGCCATTAGTTTTTATTTTTTACGATAAGGAGGATAGATGTAAGGTAGCAAGTTGCGGTGCATGTGATTTGAATTTGATGTATTTTTTTAGCTAAGATTTATATTAGATGTACTCAACAACTTAATGTTGGCTTATGCGATCAATTTTGGTTAATTATATTATGTCTTGTCATTCATTTCATGGTGATATTATTCCTAGTCTATGGAATAATTTAATCGTATAATTTAAATGTTAACTACATTGCGCAAGACTACAATGAATGTTTTAGTGACATAATGTCAATTTACATCACATAATTCAAATATTTAACATCTCTGTTCGGATTTATCTTCTGAAATGAGTTTAATTGAAATTGGCTGCTAACAAAACACAGGAAAGAGACAAAAAAATGTAGAACAGGAATTCACGAGAACGAGAAAGAAATACAAAACGGAAATTTTGATTTTCATTATTTTTTTCCAGTTATGGTTAGTTTTAATTTGGTAGTGGACTCTTTAAGTTCTGCTATTCAGGGTATCACAATTATATTTATTTGATTAAGATTCTTGTATAAAGATATAATTAGAGATAGATATAGCATCTTTTTATAGAATAAACTAGTGTGTGCCCCGTGGAATGCAAGACCTTCCCTTTTTTTTATTAGGGGCTGTTTGGTTCGCTATTATAAGGGGTGGAAAACTCAGAAAACCCCTCCACGTCAGATTTTTAGCCCTCCACGTCAGCGTTTTTGTTTCCGTCCATTTCTTTGTGCCGTTTTGGTTCGCTCGAATGGAAGAGGGAAAACTCTGCTGAAATCGCCGCCAACTAAGATTTTTTTCCCTCTCCGATTTCCTTCCCCAACCAAGTGAAATTGATGAAAACTCTGCCACGTCAGATTTTTTTTCCTTCTCTGCTTTGTTTACAAAAGTTTTCCTTTTTTTTTCTATGCGAACCAAACACAAGAAAAATAAATACATTGGTTTCCCACCATTTTTATGTGCGAACCAAAGCAAAACAATCTATTTCTTGGAAAAGTTTAGAAAACTCAAAACTTGTGTTTCTTTACATGGAATTGCATTTCTCTATATCAAGGAAACGAACCAAACAGCCCCTTACTACAATAATCTTTTTTTTGTTGCTACAGTTTTTTAGATGCGATAGTGATATTTTTTAAATATTATAGTGTCGCACCTCTAATATAGTAATATATTTTAAAATGCTACTATAATATTTTTTTAATAATGATACAGTATCTCGCATATACTACAATAATATTTCTCTGAAAATACTATAATAATAAATTACTGTAGCATAATAGTGTTTTCGGCACCTGCTACAGTAATATTCCTTTGAAAAAGTATTATGATAAATTACTATATTATTTACTGTAGCATAATAGTGTTTTTTGGATCCTCCCAGCGTTATTACATAGGAATAGACGTACCGCATCATCACCATGCTGTGGTGAAGCGAATGCCCTCGATGCTTTCTCAAGGACGCGACGTTCAATTATTTCCGGCGGCGAAAGCACAGGACTAAAAACTACAAAGCCATCCCGGGCCCAAAACCGTCCTTTCTAGAACCTCGCACCCAAACAAAAACGAGCAACAGGTAGAGTGGAAAAAAAAAAATAAGTGAACGAGAGAAAAAAGCGCACAAGAGAGCCCAATGAGCAGCCCCAGCCCATTATTTTACTAATCTTGTACCAGCTCAGTGGGCCCTCATGGTAAAAGCTTCGACTAGCACAGTGGGGCCCTGATTGAATTTATTTAACACACTATCGGGTATAAAAGTACCAAGGCTTATTGGATTAGCATACCTACGCTAAATCCGCATCCGAGTTGTTTAGTAGGCGGGTCAAGTACCCCCCGTCCGTGGTCCATTCCATGTGCCCCTGAACGAACGGATATATACGTTATCGATCTGGATCTTTATGCAAATTTAGTAGTTTAGATTAGAAGAAGAGTATCCGAGCCCTAATAGAACCCAAAAGGGGGAAGTCCTCAAGCAACCACCAAGTAATTAAATTGCACCCGTTGATCCACTTCAGGACCGATTGGTTCACAAGGTATTGCTAGTGTTAACTAAAATTACGATTTACATAAGATATAATTATAGTTGTCACCACTTGTTTCGGTTTTGGATTGTCTTTATCGTAAAATAAAGATAGGAAGTTTATTTCTTTAATTATAAGCATATATTATTTAGTCGGCAATTACAATCGCTTCTTGAGTGAAAATAGGAACACGTGAAAAATGAAAAGGTTTTGATAAATGTTACGTTATAAATGAGGGGAAATTGCTTCTAGCCCACAAAATAACTCCAGGTATCTTCCCCCCACCCAAGACTTTTTCAAAGCATTTAAACACTTCATTTTTCTTATGAGTTAGTTGTTAAAGTAATGAGTTTGTTGTTAAGGTTATGAGTTGGTTGTTAAGGTTATGTGAATTGGTTGTTAAAGTTATGAGTTGGTTATTAAAGTTATGAGCATGTTGCAAAGGTTATGAGTTGATTGTGAAGCTTATGAGTTGATTGTTAATGTTATAAGTTGGTTATGAAGGTTATGAGTTGGTTGTGAACTTCGGTAATGAGTTTGTTATTAAAATCAACTCATAACATTCACAACCAACTCATAACGTTCACAACCAACTTATAACCTTAACAACCAATTCATAACATTCTTTCACAACTAACTCATAACCTTAACAACAAACTTATTATAGTAGAATATCAACAATATTTAAATTTACAAACTCTGTTTTAATCTCAAGTCATCGATTTCAAAAATTTATAATAATATGTAAAATAACAAAAAATATAGTACTCCGATTCAACCATGTCCAGATCTTGATCTTAGCTTCTCTTTGAAGTTTACATCGGGAGTCGCCGGAGCTCCCGTTTTTTTCTTGGGAACAACGACATTGAATCCATCGCAACTCACCTCAGTTCCGCCAGCGCCGTCGAATTGACGCTCTGTCCTTTGCTTGTCACCAACGTCTTCAAGATCGTTGTGTTCTTCGCCTCATGAATGAACGCCAGGAAAGCTCCATCACCGATGTGACGCCATTGGAAGAATTTGGAGGGAACTAGAATTTATTTTCCCCCCGAAACTCATTTCTAATCATGCCTACAGTGACATCATAAAAAAGAAAGGAGGGGAGGGGGTATTATAGTCTTCAAATATTTGAAAGTGTTTGGTTTTGTCTTTTGAGGGCTAAAAGAATTGTGGTTTTACTTTAAGGGTTTTGAGAGCTTTGAAAAAGTCTTGGGTGGGGGATATACTTGGAGTTATTTTGGGGGCTAGAAGCAAATTTCCCTAGAAATAATTCACAAATTCCATTATCACAATAATCTTCTTACAACGACAATTATTAAAAAACACATTTTCTTAAATAAAATTTGCAATTAAATTGACTATAAATTGACTTAACAAAAAAGATTTGTTTTTTAATTGGGATTAGAAAAAAATAAATTTATATTAAATAAACAATGGTCGAAACTAATTTTTTTCCCCACATGATGAGAATAGGCTCTTCATCATTAGGGTCTCCAAAAGAGGAAGGTAGCCTCTCGCTCTCTTTTCTGCTCTCTTTCTAGAGCTCAACAGGTGGGGGCAAAGAGTTTGGTTTTTGTTTTTGTCCTTTTAATTAGTTTAATTAAAACCCATTTGTTTTTAAAGGCTACTGAGTTTGATGGAATCAGAGGAGGCGAGTTTCATGGAGCTTTTGGGTTCAGAGTTACTCTATCTTGCTCCTGACCATGGAGTTTGTGAGAAACTCAGTCTTAATTCCTCTTTAACCTTCACTCAGAGTTCTTCATCCTCTTCAACAACAAGTAGTACTGCTGAGGTATATACCAAATATTTATCTTTATTTTTTTTCAATTTACATGCATTTTAGCAAAGACAACTTAAAAATTATTCAGTGAACCATGCTTAGAAAAGAAAGAATTATAAGTTTGATGTAATAATCCACAAATTTCTAATAATTTTATCCACTTTTTGGATCACCAATTGTCTAGCAGACACAATCGTTGAATAGTTTATCTAGACTTTCATATAACCAAGTCTCTCTTAAAATCATAATCTCATTGTTGTTTAGGAGGTGACCACTGAAACAAAAGCTCACAAGAAGCAGAAGAAAGGGCCATCAGCTTATCTGAGTACCATCAAGGTTTTTGATTCTTTTCTGTTTCCTTAAGCTTTTAAATTGTTTTGAATTTTTTTTGGGTTACTTGTATATCATTTGAAGAGTGTATTTAATGGATTTATGGATGATACTTGTCAATAGGTAAAAAAGGATAAGTTGAGAGACAGAATCTCAACACTGCAGCAGCTGGTTTCACCCTTTTGCAAGGTTTAATGTTTTGTTCTCATTTTTTTTTTGAAGATTGAATAAATAAATAAATTAAAATTTCTACTACTAGGTTTTTTTTATTAATTTGTTTTCATTTAATTTGACTTTGACTTTGACTGGGTAGTTCAGTCTGACACTGCCTCAGTGCTGCATGAAGCTCTTGGATATATTAAGTTTTTGCACGACCAAGTTCAAGTAAATTTATTCTCCCTCCCTCAAAATTTTCTTTTCAATTTCTCTTCTAGTTTAAAGTTTTCAAACTTTTATTTTTCAAATTTTTTATGTTTCATTTTTTCTGCCAGGTTCTGAGTTCACCATACCTGCAGCCAAGCCTGCCAAAGACTGCAAGCCTTCAGGTAAATAGACTAATTCTCTGATTTCTCTTGTATTTCTTTCTACCTCTTTCCTGTGAAGTTGCTATATTTGTGAAATGGAGACAGATTCTTTGGTTGACCCAATTTGAAGCCTATTGACTGTAATAAAAGTTATTAAATAATTTCTTTGTTAGTAATAGTGTTTAGTCTAACAAAATTAGTCGGTTTGGTAATTTTCAGTTTTTTATACACAATTTTCTTGATAGCCAGTTCTAGTCTAGCAAAATTGGTTTAGTAATTTCTTGATCGGTTGGTATATTATTTTCAAGTGCACATACTTAACCAAACTTAAGTTGTCTTTATTAGTGATTTAATAGTGCTGATACACTAATTTATATTAATTTATATCTATACTAATTTATATCTATATATACTAACATATAAAAAACATTATGGGGTAGTGAAATTTTAGAGGAATGAAGGGCATTTGATCGCTTCCTATTTTAGTTGAGGGTAAAATGATAATATTTCAAGAGAGATTTTTTTTTCATTTCCTTTCTTTTCCTCTCTTATTTCTAGAACTTTCTAAATAGAAAAGAACTTGAACTCACACAGTTAAAATTGTAATTTGAACTCGCATAATTAAAATTGTGATTTTTCAAGAGAAATTTTTATTTCGTTCTTGTCTTTTTTTTCCTTTCTTATTTCTAAACATTCGAAATCATGAAATGATTATACTCATATACTTAAATTGCAATATCTCAATTTTTCTTTTTTTAATCATTACTCCAATTATATTATCTTCAATAAGAAATCTACCCAACAAAATTGTGTAAGAATAAATTTAATTGTTAAATACCAGTTTATGATACATTTTCTACATAGAACCTTATAATAAATTTACATGAATTAAATGATCTTCAAACTATAAATATGTCAATATAAGATAAATTGTAACAATTTAATATTATTTCAAGCTTGTCGCATGTGTCATTGTACTAGTATACAAAATACATAGTGAAGGCAGGAGAAAAGTTGAATGATTTTGGAGGACATGTCCCTATTTCAACTATAGTTTTTCAACTATAATTAAGAGGACAAAAATGTAATTTTATAAGGGAGATTTTTTCTTGTTTCCTTTTCTTTCTTTTTCTTCTAGAACATTCCAAATCATATCATGACATGCATGATATGAGTTGCCGTGCGAGCACCCTTTGGTCGCGGAATTACCAAAAGGTGGGTTGAGAAGAAGACAACTAAAACATAAGAACAATTCAGTATGGCGAAGGAATTTACCTTCTCTAGATTATGAAGAATCAATTATTACAAATCTCTCCCTCAGAATCTCACTAGAATCGAGAACAACCTCTCAATCCTCTCTAAACCCTAATACAAATATTAGAATCTCTCTCTTTGATCTAAGATCTCCAATATGATCTAAGCTGATGTGTAGAAACCCTAAACAACCCCTTTATATAGGTGTACAAACGTGGATGGCAATCTGGTAAATAACCAAGCCCAAAACCAACAGGAAAACGTGTAAATAGAGTCCTTAACGAATCTGGAAAGCTCCGATGAGTCGACTCATGAACAGTTATGAGTCGACTCATGACCTCATATAAGTCGACTCATAACTGATGAGTCGACTGGTCAGAAACTTTTTGCTAACAGGGCTTGAGTTCTTGAGTCGACTCATGACAGGCATCAGTCGACTCAACCTGATGAGTCGACTCATGTACATGTATGAGTCGACTCACAGGCTGAAATCTGGATTCTTCGAATCTGCTGCTCGTCGTTTCGTTCCACTGGTCAGAAACTTTTTGCTAACAGGGCTTGAGTTCTTGAGTCGACTCATGACAGGCATCAGTCGACTCAACCTGATGAGTCGACTCATGTACATGTATGAGTCGACTCACAGGCTGAAATCTGGATTCTTCGAATCTGCTGCTCGTCGTTTCGTTCCACGCTGCCACCTGCATTCCACTGTACTGTTTACACCCCTATTCTCATGCTATCATGAGAATCATCTATCCTCAAGCTCCCATGAGGATTGCTAAGATCTCGAAGAGAAGATACACCCGTATCAGGGGTCCCCTCTTTAGGAACTTGAAGTTCCGTTCAAGTTAGAACTTTTGCTGAGGAAACTCTCGAGCTCCTCCATCTTGTCTGCACCACCTGGCCTTGCTAGGAATCCGGTCTCGACGTCTGATCGGAAATAACTCATTCGTCCCCCGTCTCGTCGTAGTCACCGTTCGCTCTAAGTTGTAATCATTTGTCGATGGCTTTTCTGGAAGTCTAATGCACAGCGAGACAAACTTCTTGCTAGCATTCACTAGTCTCTTCGCTCGCGTCACCGTCCCCAAGCTTGTCTCCCTCGGAAGAGATGCCGAACGAAATATGAACTTTTCACCATCCTTAATGAAGGTGTACTTCTGAGCCCGCCTCTCGTAGATCGCGTATCTATCCCATAAGTACGGATTACCCAGTATAATCTGACAAACATCCAATGGAACGACGTCGCACGTGACCTCGTCAATATACGACTCGTGGAGTGCAAATCTGACAGTGCATTGATCAACTACACTCAGTTTCTCCTCCTTCTGAATCCACCCCAATGGATAAGGCTTCGGATGCTTGACCGTCTTCAGACCTAGCTTCTGAACTAATGCCTCGGATATCAAATTCTTCTCGCTGCCCGAATCAACAATAGCATCAACCAAACTGGTCTTTACTTACAACTTAAGAACAAAGAGTTGCTCTCTCAAGTCGTCGTCCTCTTTCGTGGTCTGCTTTCCCGCTATAAGGTTAAGACTGCTGTTGGGCTCTGTCATCCCCGGGACTTCTTTCGGACCTTGAGCTATCATGTATGCTTTTTTTCTCCTCCTTCTTCTTCAACCCTCTTGGCTTGAGATAAGGATACTTCTCCCAGCACCGATCAGCTGTGTGTCCTGTCTTCTCGCAGTGACTACAAATCAGCCCTGTTTTCCCTGGATCACCCTTCTTCTTCTCCTCCTTAGATTGAGAACCACTAGACTCGCCTCCCGTCTATTTGGAGTCTCCCTTAGCCTCGTTGCCCTTCTTTTGCTTGCCCTCGAGGGCAATAGCCTTCACGCTCGCCTCTGTAATTGATTCCATCGTGAATAGCTTCATCTCCTTTCGGATGTAATCGCTCAATCCCGCCATATACTTCATAAATACGGAATATTCCTCTGTCGTAATGTTAAGGACCATCGCTTGCTGCTGAAACTCCGTGGTGTATTCTTGAATGGTTTGATTGACCCTTTGGTGCAAACCGTACCACTTGTACCAACGCTCTTCAAGGAATCCCACCGGGTAGAACTGCTTCTTCAGTAACTCATTGAACTTGTTCCACGATACCGCCTTCTTCTCCTGCTTGCAGTAGGATTTCCACCACGTCAACGCGTGCCCTGAAAGCTTCAAAGTCGCGAACACAATCTTCTTTTTTGACGAATAGTCATAAAGAGTAAAATACGTCTCCATCCGCTCGATCCAGTCATCAAGCCTCTCAACGTCAACACTCCCATCATAAACATGAATCTACACCTTGAATTCAATTTTCAGATTCTGATAAGAATTCTTACCCCTTTGATGCAATGCAGCCTTAACGGTCTCCTCCTCCTCGTCGGAATCTAAATCTACTCTCTTCACATCGGACTCAATAATTTTCTTCGAAGAAGATTTACCTTGTTTGCCACCTCCATGGATAAGACTGACGAGTTGTGTGAGAGTCGAACCTATCGTCTCGATCTGCTTCTCCAATGCATCAATCCTCGTAGAATTGTCTCCTTCAGCCATCTTCTTCCTCCTTAAAACCTGGACTCCTTCCAATAAAATAAGGATCTCGCCAAGCTTCTTGTATTACGATCGAGTAAGGACCATACACAGGATACCCCTTCATCGGATCTGATTGCTCTGATACCAACTTGATACGAGTTGTCGTGCGAGCACCCTTTGGTCGTGGAATTACCAAAATGTGGGTTGAGAAGAAGACAACTAAAGCATAAGAACAATTCAGTATGGCGAAGAAAAATACATTCTCTAGATTATGAAGAATCAATTATTACAAATCTCTCCCTCACAATCTCACTAGAATCGAGAACAACCTCTCAATCCTCTCTAAATCCTAATACAAATATTAGAATCTCTCTCTCTAATCTAAGATCTCTAAGATGATCTAAGCTGATGTTTAGAAACCCTAAACAACCCCTTTATATAAGTGTACAAATATGGATGGCAATCTGGTAAATAACCAAGCCCAAAACCAACAGGAAAACGTGTAAATAGAGTCCTTAACGAATTTGGAAAGCTCCGATGAGTCGACTCATGAGCAGTTATGAGTCGACTCATGACCTCATATGAGTCGACTCATAACTGATGAGTCGACTGGTCAGAAACTTTTTGCTAACAGGGCTTGAGTTCTTGAGTCGACTCATGACAGGCATCAATCGACTCAACCTGATGAGTCGACTCATGTACATGTATGAGTCGACTCACAGGCTAAAATCTGGATTCTTCGAATCTGCTGCTCGTCGTCTCATTCCACGCTTCCACTTGCGTTCCACTATACTGTTTTACACCCCTATTCTCATGCTATCATGAGAATCATCTATCCTCAAGCTCCCATGAGGATCGCTAAGCTCCCGAAGAGAAGATACACTCGTATCAATGCATATGGAATAAGACAAACATTCATCATATTTTAGATTAGAAAAGGAATAAAAAATTAATAAGTTTATTAAAAAAAACGATAAGTATCCATCTACACTGCTCTATAAATGGAATAATGAAAATAGTGAAAACTGTAAAAATAATATGGACATTGAGTTTATAGTGGTCTTCTTTTCAAAACAAAATTAATATTGCAATAGCAAAAACTTTTTCATATCACATGCATTTACACGTGCTAAATTTTTAGTATAAAATTATAACCCTTAATTGTCACCCAACTGTTAAGTTTTGGTACAGTCGAAGTTTTGACATAGTGGCATGGATATTTGACTTAGTGCCAGAGGGACTCATGT